ATGCCTTCTCGTCTTGTCAAGGTCTCTGCATCCTTCTTGAAGTGTGATTCAGCTATTGAGCATGGTCTCCAATCATCGCTTCATATCCGTTCGAACACAGGGTGATGTGTTCAATTCGATTGGATGTCGTTTTTTATGTCTTTCAGCTTGATTGTCTGAGTGTATGCGAAGAGTGTGGCATTCTGAAAGAAACATGTTTTCTCCTCCTTTGGTGTCTCGTCTTTGAAACGCAGTCTGCTCAAAGTGTCCACATGTGAGATCTGCTCTCCTGGAACATGTTTCAGTTTGTAGTCGAATCTCATCCGCGCCCTAGCCCACCTGGTTCTTCTAGCTGATGCTAGTATACTAACCCTTCGTCTGACGCGAATAGGTATTGCAAGGATTTGTGATCTGTTTCTAGAGTGAAGTTTCGCCTCAGTATTAAAGTGTCAGTCGCGTGACCAAAACCACGATTGCCAAAGCTTGTCGTTCTATGTTGGAGTAGTTGCACTCAGCGGATGTTAGCTTCCTTAAAATCTAGATCACTGGATGTTATTCTTGTGAGAGAACCCACCAACTGCCTGCTCCGAAGCATTGACGGTCACAGTCACATCTTTATCCAGGGAGAAGGGTTGCACGTCTGATTTTCAGCAGAATTTTTGTTTGATACACTGAAAGGCATTGTTGTGTTGGTCAGTCCACTCGAAGTCTTGACTCTGTAAATCATTGAGAGAGATCATCTTGGTGACGAAGTTCGGAACCATTTGTCCGTAGAAGTTTGCCAGTCCTCAAGATGATGGATTTTCTTTGTGGTTCGCGGTTATCTTGGTGCTCCGAATCTTTTCAACAAGCCTATTTTCAATCCATCAGCTGAAAGTGAATAGCCTGAAAAGGAAACAGTTTTTTAGTGGTTTCGGGTTAGACTTGGTCTCACTGATTGTGATTTGTTTCTCGGAAATGTCCATTAACTGCCGTCATATGCTTTTGGTGTTCCTCGCGTGATGCTCCGTAGACAAGCAGGTCGTCTTGGAGGATAATCACGCCTTTGATGTCTTTGAGTGTGTTATCGATGCACTTTTGAAAGATCGAGGTAGTCAACACATCCTGATCAGCCCCTGTTGGGTGTTGACTTTGCACACTTCTTTTTCTTCATCATTAAGCTCGATTTGATTTTAAGCGATTTGATTCAATTTTGCCGAAGAACTTGGCTCGATGTAAGTTGTAGAAAATTGTCTCCATGTCGGATAATGGGTAGTCTTTGTCCATTTTTTTGCCATTGAGGTGAAATTTTTATTCGGCACAAAGTCTGAGTTCACTGTTTTTTTTTTTGTGCCACACTACTGAAGATGCCTTGGTAACTCCTCTGGGCCACCTTGGCTCGAAAAGTCTCTGCCGGACCCTTTACTGTAGTTTTGTTTTCAGTGCCTCCTTCATTGGCAGCGGAATTTTGCGTGCTTGGCAGAAAAATGATTGGGCTGCAGGCTACAGTTTCACCTGGACCTTGTACCCTTTGACTGACGACAAAGTATTTGAGAGCCCATGTATCGAATGTATCGGATACTAACTTGGTAAGTAGTCCAAAATCCCTGTTGGATCGCCCAACTGCCGGGTGCCGGAGTAGCTTTGAGTTGATTCGACCATTTCATGTCAGGTCACAAAAAGCTGTTCATTTAATGTAGAGTTTGTCTCCGTCGTATGCCTCTAGACTCCCAGCAGTTCCAGCTAGAGTAGGTCTTCCAAGCTTCTACCAGATACATGACGATATCAACGTTGTATCAGCACCAGTGCCCAATCACTTCAGTGCCGTCAATGACGACACTTTTCCATGAGGCGACAATGCCGATGAAACTTGATGCAAAAACAGCGCCCTCTGAGAACTGGCCCCTATCAGCATGACTGTTTTCTCTCCTATTTATTCTACTGTTACATGTGTTATTGTTGCTGAACTTACGTCGACACTTTTTTTGCAAAATTCCTGTCTTACCATATGAGTTACATTCCTTACGGGTTGAAGAATAAGACTTATACCCGAGTGGTTTTTTCATCCGCACTTTTTTGTATCCGATTTATCGCTAATGTAAGCTTCATTAACAATTTCCGGTTTTCTGGAGGTTGATTTAGAAGTTAGCAATTGTTTCTTTATTTTAAACTTAGTTTGTATTTGATCGCTAAACTGTAAGACAGTTTTCATATCAATTAAAATTAACTTTGTTGAACCTCTTTTTGCCTCAAATAACTTGAAATTAGAATCTTCTGATCTTAGTCACGAGATGAGCTTCATTGATTTTATATCGTCTTCCGCATCAGCGATGTTTTTATGTCCCGAAATGATTCTGAACTGTCGATAGGAAGATGACTCGCTCAGCAATCACCACATTGTCACTGAGTCTACAGTAATCTCGTACCACAGTGTGGATCTCATTGAACGTGATCTCTATGAGGATTTTTTGCGAAACAAGAATCCACTTCTTCAAAATTGCTGGCACTCAACACTGACTGAGGAAGAAATTCGTATTTTGAAAGTCTGCGAGATACGCTCCCTCTGCAGCACTGTCGCTCTCCTTCTCTGAGCGGGCTCTCCCAAGGAAAGCAATCAACCAAAGCATTGTCCCCTCAGATTTCAGAACATTTAATGAATTGCCAGCTCCAGTCTGGACACCACTATTGTGGATCGGTGCAATGCGAGAGAATATGTGCAGAAGATTTTTTTGAGATCGATCTAAGTTTTTTTTTCCTAATTTTTAGTTGCTATTACTAGCTTTTTTTGTTGGGAAAAGTATACAAAAAAAAACAAAATATGTTATTAGGAAGGAATATCTTTTTTGTTCACGTGTTCGAACTTTTGATAACTTTTAGAAAAAAACATTCGAGAAAACTATCTTTGCATTTTTGCATAGGTTTGATTAGTTTATCTATCATCTTTGACACAATGTTACGGTTGGTTCAATTTAACTGATAATAAAGAATCAGTAATTAAAATGGAATTGCTTCTGAAGCAATTCAATACGCTTCAATATATCTAGAATTTGACATATTTATTCTCTTTAATTTTCATAGTAAGAGTTTTCTCAGGTCATCACTAATTGTTTGCCTGTTTAATGCATTCTTCGACAAGGTTCCGTACGCGGATCCTGTGTTTGTCTTGTCTATGTAAATGATATGCTGCTAGTCGCTCAAATAATTGACGTTTTTCAGACGATTCGAAAACTTTTCTGGAGATAGCGACATGTGTAATTTTCAGCTTGATGGTTTTTAGACACATTTTTGGATTGAATAAAATCAGTTATTTCTAACTTGCTTTACTCGAAATAAAAAAGATTGTAATTACAAAAATTGTTTTTCTTGCAAAACTTTCCTGCAAATTTTTTGGTGTAGTAGCCAAAAATTATGAGTTTTGTTCATACATTGGTACAAAAATCTGACTTAAATTAGAGCACCAGTACGGTTTAATAACAATTTTTTTTAAACAAAAATCTTCCTTAATTACACTTTAGCTGCAACAAAAACCAATCACACAGATGCAATGCTGATTTTCATATGTACTTGCAGTTTGCCGCAAAACTTCATATGTGTATTTCGAAGAAAGTTTTTCAGAATATTCTTTTTTGTAACAGAACCATTGCTAAACTCAGCAAGTAATTGGTTTATTGAATTTGATTTGATAAATTGAGTCAGTATGACAAAAACTTTAGTTAAATTCGTGTTTTGTTTACACAATAGCAATGTCTCTCAGTCGGCGTTCTTCGTGCGTCAAAAAACTCCCAAACAAAATTCGCCCATACAATTCAAATAAGTTAAGTCTAAGAAAAAATTGCTAACCATACACTTTTCATACGCTTTTTTCTAAATAGTGTCATCGAACTTAAAAAGAACATTTCTTTCTTCGGGAATGAAAGCCAATGTATCGTAAATTGTTATGTCAAAAAAGCTAGTCCACACTTTCCATTCAATTTCATTGAAGTTTTGAAATTACCTCAAAAATTTTTTTGAGTTATTGTTTGCGCGCAATCCCCGGTTTGGACAAAAATGCTTGTTATACATTTCTCATAAATGGGAAATTTGTTTTCCTGCAATTCCATGCAATTCCATACGTAAAGAAAACTGTGTGAAATCTCTATAGTTAACATTTTCCCACAAATGGCAATTGTATGATAGGTGCGTTGCAACCGAACACAAGTGACAAAGACCTTGATTGCTCAAAGCACTGAAAGTTGGGCGGTCTTGCTGTTACAATGCATAGAAAATGACCTGAATTGTCTCGAGCTGTCTTTTACAAATGATATAACAAAAAAAAACTTTTATTTTTTGGCAAAATTTTTCAATGACGATTATTTTAATTTTTTGAATTTTCAATTAATCAGACATTGATCAAGGCATACATAATCACGCCATACAAAAGAAATCGGAATTTATTAACGTAGCATGTAAACTAACCGGAATATATATAAGGTAGTCCTGGAACATAACGTAGTCATGAAATTCTAAAAAAAAATTGAAAGTTTGCTACTTTCATTATAGCGTTTGTGCGAGACATCGATGTTCAGGTCACTAGAGGCAATGTATATTTAATCTTTTGGTGATTTAAGCCTTCATTAACTTGTGATTGATCACGAATACAATTCGAAAAAATGGAGAAGTTAAATTGAATAAAAATTAACAGTTTTTTGGTTGCTGGAAAAAATGCTACTAATACAAAGTCCATATAGCAAAAGATCCTAATTATAAACCTTTAATACAACCTTATGTTCTTCAGGAATTGCATGAAAAATGTACCTGGGTCGACAATAAATATAAGATATTTATCATTTGTTTTCCAATTGTATGAAGAGCGTTTTTGGCCAACGCGGGCCCTTATTCGACCCCATCCATTTTGGCAAATTTGCAGAAGCGACTATTTTTCACTGTCCTCGTATGACGATTCCCGGGGAGAAAAAAGTTTTAATTGTTTTCAAAAGGCAACTGCTTTATAAGATCTGTTCGTAAGCTTTCTACTGGTTGTCTTGCAATGTATACAAACCTACCATTTTGGTGTCCCTTGCCCGCCAGCAGGAGATTTGGAATTACAGATTTGGGACAGTTGTCCCTGCAACACTCGGCGTCCCGGTCTGGACAACAGACAGTGATTCTGCTGGAAGGACACCTTAAATAAAAAATAAAAAAATATCTGCCACAGAATCGCCAAAACAATAATTTATGAAAACCGCCATTTCACATTTTTCAAAAACTTGAAAGCATAAATAGAAACCTTAAAAAAATGATCCAATTTATTTAGGAGCCCATCAACAATTCCAAAAAACGACTCGAAGCCATTGTCTGGTTGGAAATGAGAATCACTATAATTTGCAAACCAATCTGTTTATTTCTTTTAAGATTTGAAAAATCAAAAACGAAAAGCATAAAATTAGGTTCATGTCTTCTCTCGAAATTTAGTCGCTTTTATTAAGTGTCGCAAACAATTACCCTCAAAAATTCACCGGCGGAATCTTGAAAAAAGTATAATTGAATTTATTCGTTTTCGCACTATTAAGGCCATGAATGAAACCAATTATTTTCAGAATGCATTGCAAAAAGTGTATTTCTTTTTTTAATCCAGATTCAATTTGCTCCCGATGTTGGGTAAGTGTTTTATAGCTTAATTAACTACTGGAACCTGATCTAAACTACATTTTATGATTGGATAAATTAGATATTTTACCAATGTAAAGTATTTAACATTAACCAATCATGATCCATCTAACTAACAATCCACTTATTTGTAAGTGCTGAAATTACTTGTAATTTCAGCACCAGAGAGATTTGAATTTAACTTAGAAATTAGTTGAACTCTCCCGAGTACTTCAGCAGCCGCAATAAACCAGTATACCCTAGATCTATTGAGCCTAGCAGAGACTAGTTAAACAACCTGAGACTAGATAGTATAAGAGTAAGATTAGGATCGGTATTAGACTAAGAAGTTGCACGAATCTATCCGGCCGAAAATAAGATAGCGTGACGAGCAGACGGTGTACCCTATCCGAAATTACTCTATGAGTTATACCCATCGGTCATAACTCATCTGGTGCGACCATAAGTCTCGAACAAGACCTTAATAGCTTAGAATTAACCAATAATAGATTAGAATTTAGACAAAACGTTTACAAAATGTTATACGACAATAATTTAATCGAAATGTCTCTACGACTCAATAGATCAGAGCCAATATTCCAAACGATAACAGAACTACCCGGAATTGGAAGAAGACCTCGAACCAGAGACGACATACGACAAAGCAGAAACTTACCATATAGTTATATGATAGTTCGGCAAAAGCCAGAACAAACTTTTGTATTTAGAATACTACTAGCAATGAATTTAGATTTTCATTTGCAAACATAAAATTTTGAAGTCAATCTTCAAAATCATTTCAGGCGCTAAACAAAATTATTAATATACAATAACGATTGATAAAAAGATCTCAGATCGTTTTCCTAAATTCTGCAGTAATATACAAAACATGTTTGAAAAATATTTATTGAAAAATCAAAATAAAAATTAGTAGCATGACAATAAACGGTTAGTAATTATAAATCATCCTGTTGTTCCAGCTTCATCGCCTAAACATAACAGCATTCATAAGCTCACTAATATCATAAAAATACTAAATCTATTCTTTACACAAATTTAAAACATTTTAAACTTAAATTCACTTAATTTTAAAATCAGATCATCAAGGCTTATCCTTGGATCTTAAATCATTTTCTATTTAATTAAATTTAAAACTTGATCATCAAGGCCTATCCTTGGATCAAAAAGAACAACTTTGTTCTCCCCCACCCACTTAACTAGTGTCTAACGACCTCAAACGTCGATTCACTATCCAACCCTTTCTAAAAACCCAGGACTAATAGAAATTTTTAAACAAAACTAATCATTCAAATTAGGATAAACAGTGAAGAACTTCGGTTATTCATCCTTCACTTGATCCCCCCTCTTACCAGACCCAGGATAAATCTTAGACTTAGTAAGTTTAAAATAGTATCTAACGAACTACTCGCGTTCTAATTATACCTGAACCTTGTGGATCGATTTACTATTCTCCAACCCTGAACACAATCACTACCCTTAAGTAAGATTAAGTAAGTTAACACCTTAGCTTATACTATCCACGAGAAAGTATAAAATCATTCTTCGGAATCGATATACTTTTCTCCCCAACCCTGAACAAATAGACCCAGGTTAGGCTAACAAAAAAATCGTAAGGACTAACAGTTTAAGCAAATAGAAATCATTTAACAACCTTTTGCATCCGTCATCCTAAACCTTATGTCATTTAAAAACCTAGGAAATAAACAAAAAATCGTTTTACACAATTGTGAAATAGATAACAAAAAATACGACCTTGTAATCACACCTCATACACAAACAGTTGGATACATTAGAACAAAACGACAAACATTAAAGAGAAAAATAATAACTAAACAAAGACAAATAACACGAAAAAGATTTTCAAAAAATTGAAATGCATTTTCAGAATCAGAAACCAACAGTTTAGACGAACTTTATAAACTAAAAGAATCAATAGATAAAAATTGCCCAATTCACGATCAATTATATTTCTCTGACTCAGAAACAACTTCAAATTCATCAAAAAGAGGAAAAAGAAGAATAAAAAAGCAGTATAAACACAAACCAATACATTTATACAATTGGAATCAACCAATTAGACACATTGATAATTACATATTAACAGTCATCGAACGAAAAAATGAGCTCAACGCACACCCCAGGTGAAGAAAGTCCAGATGATGATGATATCTTCCCCTTTATCGTAGATGCAACCACTGATAGAGGACAGCATATATTTTGCAAAAATTTACTCTTAAATTTGTTTGAACCCGGAATCAGTCCATGTAAAACAGAGTTCCCAGATGTAAAAATCAAAAGACAAATTATCGATCACTATCTAAAAGATATATGTAACCTAACACAACAATACGGAATCTACTCCATAGAATTCAGCTCACCAAACCAGAATCACAGTAAATATATAATTCAAACAGACGACCTTGATTTAGAATTCTCAAAAGTATTCTCAGAACATATAAAAAGCATTATATCTCGATATTAGAAAACGAAATCCAGATACCAAATGTCTCACCGACAGAAACATCTAAACATATAAGAGTACGACATGAAATCACACTACTCTCTAGTTTTCTAAATATAATTAAAGAAAATTTCACGAAAGATGAAGTTTCACAACATACAAAACACGACTTACAAAAAATCTTGGCATGGTTCATAATAGATTATTTCACACATAATATTGATTTAATTTCACAAGCAAGAAAAAATTTTAGACCCCAAAACTCAAACGATGATACTGCCATCACAGAACAATCAGACTATGTTTGGGACCCCGAATGGTCTCATCCCGCATCCATAAACTTCCCACAATCAATCTCAAGTCAAGCAATAAGTACGATATCTTATGTAAGAGATTATGTACGAGTAATACCATTAACCATTGATGCAACACCATTAAACTATAATAAATTTTTACCCGATATGCAAAATAATAGTTTAAACTCTACAGTCATACACAATGAAAACCTCAATGGAACTAGGAATCTTACTCAACAAGATATCCAGACACCATCACACTTCATAAATGAAGAAATCGTACACACAACAACTACACAACAAAGTATTTCACCAATACGTCCAAACTTAACAACACCAAGAAATACAAATCCTTCACAAACACAGGTAACATTACAATCAACCGTTAAACCTTCGGTTGCCCCAAAATATTCACACATGGATTACCAAACATACAGACCCATGACAATACCGCCAAAAACACGCAAAACGTTCACTAGAAACAACTTTGCAGACCATAATTATAATTACACACATCCATCAAAAACAAATTATCAACCACGAAAAAATTTTAGTAATTATACAAGATCTCGAAACTGGGATAACCCAATGGCACCACCTAATTCAGTGAATTTCCAAACAAATTTACATCCTCCACAGGATCGTAGTGAAAACAAAATAAAAATAAAAAACAAACATCTTATCAAATGGATTACTTATCCTCAGATGATGATTTCTTACAACCAGATATATTTGCACCCTATAATCAAGAATATCGTGGACAAGGAATATAGAAACCACATACATATCATAGAATTTTTTCTCCACAACCAATAGATACACAAAATCAACAACCAATTCAGCAACAAAACCCAATTAATACACAATCTTTTCAACCAATTCAGCAACAAAACCCAATGATTGCAAACTAGTACCAACCAGCACAAATGCAAAATGAAATACCACTCCCATATTATCTTCAACAACACGAAATAACAAGAAATCAACTTTCAAATTTTTCTCAAATGCCAAATGCAGCAGAATCATTACAAATGACGATGAATCCATACCTTATGGGTGGATCATCAATAACATCAAATAAACCTTTAATGGTATTCACAGGAACAGACCCTGAATATTCTGTAGAAGACTATTTAAATGCAGTCACAGCAAATTTGATTTTAAACATAGGACCTGAACCAATTAATACGCCACTACATCGAAACTGGATACATCGACGCACAGCGTTAATACAAACAACTCTAGATGGCGCAGCCCAAAAATGGTTTTCAGTATTGCCTATAGAAATAAAATCAAATTGGAAAAGGTTTACACAAGAATTTTCAAAAATGTTTGACTCCGAAAGAAACAAACAACAACAAAGAGTTTTATGTAATGAAATTCGCAGATTACCAAACGAAACCATCAAGCAATTAGCAGTACGAATCGAAACACTAGTTCGAAAAGCATATTCATTAAATACACATGACTATAAAAACACAAAGATGACAGAAATCCTAATGATGACCTTAACACCACAATTAAGGAAAATAGCAATAAAAAAGAGAGCATCCCATCCTTCGTCAATTCGAGAACCCGATTTAGATTTTCGAAAACTAGTAGACAAACTAGAACAAGCAGAAATCACAATGAAACTCGAAGAAACGGAAAATCTGAAATTACAATACGTTAACAGAATTGAAACAGCTTCCACAAATATAAACAATATACAGGAATCAGATACAGACCTCGTTGAAAAAATCACTGAAATACTCAATA